CTGGGTGGCCTGTTATCTTTTAAACAATCTTGCAGGAGAATGGTTAAGCTGTCTGATTTCAGCCAGGTCACGATTCAGAAGTTCAGGAGTAGGTTCTCAAGGCTGCTCTTGCTGATGGTCAGAGCCTGGAGTTTGTTTCTCTCATTCCCAGGTGCCCTTCTTTCCTCTGCCCCTCCTCTGCTCATGCTCTGGTCTCCTCTCTGTCCCAAAAAAATAAAGTCAAACGCTGAAAAAATTTTTTAAAATAAACAACTTAAGCAGTAAGAAAACAAGTGCCTATATTTCACCAATAGTTACTATTTCTCAGGTCAGAGTTCCATCTGTTGCTGGAAGGACTCCTCTGAGCACTTAAAAAAATTTTGTTTAATGTTTACTTATTTTTTTTTGAGGAGACACAGAGCAAGAGCAGGAGGGGCAGAGAGAGAGAGGGAGACACAGAACTGGAAGCAGGCTCCAGGCCTGAGAGCTGTCCTGCGACAGAACCCCTGGGCCTCGAACCCAAACTGCAAGATCACTAATTGAGCCAGCTCTGTAGACGCTTAACTCCCACTGAGCCACCCAGGTCTCCTGAACACTTCTTATAGAACAGATTTGCTGTTCCAGCTTCTGTCCAAAGTCCTTTTAATATATTTTTAAGTAAATATATTTTTATATTTTTAATTGGGTAAAGAATTCAGTTAGGTTTTTTCCTTCTTGTATTTTTAAAAAATATCTTTTAACTTGAATTGTTTCTGGTGAGAAATCTCCTGTATTGTTTGCCGTTCCTCCGATATCATGCATGTTGTTTCTCTGGCACAGTTTTAGTTTTCTTCCTGTTTCTTTTGCTTGGTTTTTGGTAAGCTTGTTGAATTTTTAATCAAATCTGACAGGCTGTCAGATATCATTTATTCAAATGTCTCCCCAGCTCCTGTTCCCTTGCTGGGAGGTCTGTTACACACAGCAGCCCCCCAAGGTGCCCCCACAGTTTACGGATGCTGTTTTCTTGTCTTTCCTCACTTTTGTTTCATTCACACAGTTGCTGTCTTAAAAACTCATATTAATCTCTTCTGTGCAAGACCTCATCTTCCAGCGATCCTGCCTAATGTATTTTCCTTCTGTTTCCACTTAAATTCTTTAATCTCCCAGCTAGCTACTTGACATGTAGAATCTGTTTAACTGTTTCAATAACCTTGTTCCTGTGATTCGGTTCAGCCAGTTGACCGCTTTTCTCCTCCTTGTGGATCTATTTTCGCTTCTTTGCAGATCTGTAATTTGACGTGGACATTGTGAATTTCTACCCTGTTGATGAAGTGTGGCTTTGCTTTTACTGAAACACTAAGCCTCGAAACAGCTGATCCATTTAGATGTTGTCTTTAAACTTTGTTGGTGGGACAGAAGCAGTGCTTTGCTGGCTAATAGGCTTCATCAGCATTGAGGCTGGAGCTCCCAGTGCTCCTGACTGTGAGGCTGCCCGGCTGATCTCAACTGCAGTTCGTGTGCAAGCTGCACTTTGATCATTCCTTCAGAGATCCTGGCCAGTGGCTGTCGCTTCCCATACACACACCAGTGGGGGGCCCCTGCAGCCCCCCATCCAGCACCGGTGCTGAGGCCCTGGTCGGGCCCCCCGAGACTCCCAGCCCCATCTTCTCGCAGAGGGAGACCTGGGGCCCCTGCCAGCACTTCAGCCTCCGTGTCTGGATGGTCCAGGCTTTTCAGGACAGTCACCACATATTTTTTCCCACTGTCGCCCTTTTGATGGGACCCTGCTGCCTCTCCCTGTCCAGAAGTAGAAACTCCAAACACAATTTTAATGTCTTGCTGGAGAAAAACAGAGGCTGAAAATTACGAGCCAATCAACCATCTCCAAAAGTATGGAAGAGGGTATTGAAATACATCAATAAACATACAGAGAAAACCCGTGAATAAAGACCTGAGCAGAAATCTGTGAAGGAGAAATGTAAAATATAACGAACAAGCAAAGCTAAGCTTTTACTTTTTCTGAAAACCTATGTTCAATAAAATGACAAAGGTGCAGATTAATTAAGAAAAAATACAAATGTCAGAAGGTGTTAGGGTCGGTGGCATCCTACCCACAATGCAGTGTGACCTTTGTTTGAAACGGCTGTGTGGTATGCGTCGGGCCCAGGTGAGGTCTCATGAAATTCACCTGACGCGGACTAAGGCCCTCATCAAACTGGGAACCTGGAGACACACTAGGGAGAAACGGCCTGGGGAGGACGGCAGCCCGCCTCGCCCAGGAGAGAGAAGGGAACAGACCTCCCCTCTGTGTTTCAGAAGGAGCCGCCCTGTGGCCTCAGCATCCCAGCCTCCGCCTCCAGGATGGAAACAAGTAGGGGCCTATTAGTTTTCTGGGAGAAGGGATCTCCACCCCGCTGGCTCCCACCGGGGCCAGCTGGGTCTGAGGGCCCAGACCTCAAGGCACACCTGCCCGGGCTTAGTCATCCAGCCAAGCCACCACCCAGTCTGTGGGGGACACGACCACCCAGGGGCGGAGGGCAGACACGGCCCACAGGCTAAGGAAGCATAAGAGGGCAACTTAGGCCAGATGGACAAATTAGACAGACGGAACAGAACTCAGAGGAGACATCTGCAGGGACTCTCACCACAGCAGAGACGCAGGCAGCGGTGAAAGCCAGCAAGGAAGCCCGGGGCCCAGAGGCTCCAGCGGTCACAAAAGGAGGTTTTCCAGAGCAGAAAACAGGACGC